GCCGCGGGGGCGGGGGCGAAGCGTGCCGAGCAGAGAGTCGAGACCCCGAGGCGAGGACCGCCTTGGGCCCCGGGAGGGGCTCCAGGTCCCGGGCCGCTCCCTGGGAGGCATGTGGATCGGGAAGCAGAGCCGTGGTCGAGGCCCCCGAGGGGCCAGCGAGCCTCTTACCTCCACTCCTCGTTTGGCCTTCCTCCTCCCCCCCCCCTCCTCCTCCTCCTCCGCCCCGTCCTCCTCCTCCTCCTCCTCCTCCTCCTCCTCCTCCTCCTCCTCCTCCTCCTCCTCCTCCTCCAAGCACCGATCCTGGACGGCCATGCGGGGCTTCTGGGTGGGCGGGTGCGCCTTTTCCTGGCCACGTCGTGGGGGGCGCGCTCCCGGCACGCGTTTTCTCGTCGTCAGCCGCCTTCCCATTGCTCCTCCTCCTCCTCCTCCTCCTCCTCCTCCTCCTCCTCCTCCTCCTCCTCCTCCCCTCCTCCCCCCTCCTCCTCCTCCTCCCCCTCTTCCTCCTCCTCCTCCTCCTCCTCCTCCTCCTCCTCCTCCTCCTCCTCCTCCTCCTCCAGGAGCATCTCACAAAAAAAAGGGTTGAGGGAGGATGAAGGAAGGAGGAAGCAGCGAGAAAACGGAGGAGAAAGGGTAATTAGAAGGGTAGAGGGAGGAAGGAGGAGGGAGGAAGGAGGGCGCGGTAAGAGGAGGAGGAGGAGGAGGAGGAGGAGGAGGCGGAGGAGAAGGGCGCTAAAAAAAATGGAGGGGGATGCAGAAAGGAGGAAGCAGGACAGAAGAGGGTATGCAGAGGACTTCGTGCGTGGCTTTTCAGTCTCAAGCATGCGTCTGCGCTTGCGTTCCGATCGGACTCGCCACCATCATCTGAGTGTTGTGTTGCCTGCAATTCGGAGGTTGCCATAGGTGATCCTGGGTTCAGGCCCCTCCAGATGTTCGCACCATTTTGGAGCCCCTGGGGCCCCCGTGCTCTGAAGGCCACCATTGACCACCAGGGGTGCTCGGAAGGGTCACTTTGGGCCAGGGCCACTTCCGCGGACCTCCGACGCCGTGTTTTTTGCCATGCGGAGCCCCCAGCAGCCCTCGACCCCTTCCTGGGGACCAGGCGCTCCTCCCGGGTTGCTTCGGGACGGTCCTATAGGAGCTTGGGCAGGGTCCTGCCGAAAAACGGCGGGGAGGGCCTCTGGCAGCACCCGAGCAATCGCCGTCTGCATTCCGATCGGCCTCGGCCGAGCAGCCATGGCCTCGGCGGGCGCCTCGGGCCGCAGCGTCGGCGTCGTCGGCGCCGGGATCTCCGGGCTCGTCGCCGCCGCGCGGCTGCAGGCTCGCTCCGACGTCCGCGAGGTGACCGTGCTCGAGTGGGGCCGCGGCCCCGGCGGGCGGACGGCCCGCAGGAGGGCCACCGTGGAGGACGACGATGACCTCCGGCGTCGTGCCTTTGGGCCTCGTGGCCACTCGGGGGCAACGTGTAACGTTGGTCGGGGGTGGACAGAACCCCCAACAGTGACACGTCGATTAGTGAATTGTCCGTTTTCGGTTCTCGAGAGGGCGCCGTGGCCGTCATTTTCCAGGCTTGCGCCCGCCAGATTTGGGCCTCAGGTCGTTTTCACTAAACCACGTTTTACTAAAGGGGGGTCTGTCCATCCCCGAGTTGGCGTTGGGGCCTCCCAGATGAGGTCGGAGACTCGAAGCAGGTGGGGTCGGAGATATCGCGCCGCATCGCCGACGCATCGGCGATGGGGCTCGATGTGGATCCCGGTGTTCTCCACGCCGACGTCGCCGATGCAGCTGCGATGCGGCGCGATCCTCCATCCCCCTCTACCCGGACCCCACCTGGGAGGCCTCTAGTTAGGGAGGGGAGATGCGTCGGGCGTCTTCGCGGGTTCGTGGAGCAACGTTTCGACGTGTGCCTCGGCTTTCGGCGGCTCTCGGCCTCCGGATGCCCTCCGCAGCGGTGCCTCGCCGAGAGCGCTCGGAGGGTGCCCGAGTCGCTCCTGGCGACGGCCAGAGAGCCGAGTGGGGGGGGGGCGCGTCGACCCCCCCATCGCACAGTCGTCACCCACAGGGTCCTGCTATAGCACAGCCCGCGTTTTCGTCAAGGGCGGAAAAACCACCCGGACCGGACCTTTTGGCGTTTACTAAACGGCTTTGGGCGTTCACGGAACAGCCCTTCCCTGGTCGATTCCTTCGGTGGGGGCGGTTAGTAAACGGCGTCGCGTGTCGGAGTTGTTATCGTGGGGGTGGATGTTTTGCCCTCTATATCGGGCAGGGGTCAAGCGCCCTTCTGTCGACAGCGTATCGCTCGAGGAAGCACATGCACATGCACGAGCAGAAAGTTTTGGCGCTCCGCACAGATTTCTTGGATCCGCGCTGGGCCCCCCGGCGGCGCCTCCAGCGCCGCCCCTGGCACGCTCCGCGCGCCGGGGAGGAGGGTCCAGCGCAGATCCAAGAAATCCGGGTGGAGCGCCAAAAGCTTTACGTTTATGCCGTATTTTTTTCTCGAACCGCTGATTCAAGCTTCTTGTTTACCCCCTGAATTGGTCTCCCCTAACGTTGCCCCTCTTCCATGGTTGGACGCTGCCCGAATAAGTGAACCAGCCAAGACTGACACCAGAGAGTGTTGGGACAACGTTATCAATGCAAGTGAGTGAACGGTGAGTGCCTCTGGGCGGAGGTGCTCCGGAAAAGGAGGAGTGACTTCGACAGGTCAGACTGGCACGCCGCGCGGGCGGACCCTGACAGGCAGGCCGGGCGGGCGGGCCCTGACGGGCGGACTGGGCTGGCGGGACATTGAAGCGGGTGGGCGGGCTTCCAAAGAGTCGACCCAGCGGACACCAACGGACGGGGCTGGCGGGCGAATTCGAGCGAGCGGGCTGGGCTGGTGGGACACGGTAGCGGGCGGGCGGGCTTCCGTGCAAGCGAATGGCCGAACCCAGCGGGCGAGCTGGGCGGGCGGACCCTCGCGGGCGGGCCTGGCTGGCGGATCTTGACGTGTGGGTCGGTCGGGCGGGTTTCAGCGCGCAGCGGGCGGGCCAAGCGGGCGGGGCATCGAAGCGCATGCCTGAGCGGATCATGCGCAAGTCTCGGGCGAGAGCGCGAGTCCTGGGTACATGCTGAGGAAGTTCTGGGCGAATGTGTAATTCTAAGGTGGCGAGAGCGCAATTCCTGAAAGCACCATTCCAGAACGGGGAGAGCGCGATTTGCAAATACGTTGAGACGACGTCTCAGGCGAGAGCGTGACTCATGAATCACCTAATTACGAGGAAGTCTCGGGCGGGAGCCGCCGCTGATGCAACCGGGGAGCTCAGCAGCACAGCTTGAGATTGAAGAGTGTCCCTGACAGACAACGACGAAGTGTGAGAGCCGAGGGGGGGGGGCACTGCAACTGCAAAGTTACAGACGGGCACCGGCGAGGGGGGCTCGCAGCCATCACTCCAAGAAGAACAAGGTCATGCATGCGTAAAGTGTTGGAACTCCGCGCGGATCTCTTGGATCCGCGTCGGGCCCCCCTGACGGCGCCTCCTGCGCCGCTCCTGGCGCGCTCCGCGCGCCAGTGAGCGGGGCCTGGCGCGGATCCAAGGAATCTGCACGGACCTCCAACGTCTTATGTCCATGCTGGCTTCTCTTCTTCCGGTCATCCAGGGGCCACTTCCCGCTCCCCCGGTCCATCAAAGGACCGTCCGCGGGGCCGAGGGGTCCCGGGGCCCACGTGAAAAGGCCATGACGTCGGAGCTCTGGAGAGAGCACACCTTTCAACCGCGGCGGCCCGCTCGAGGTGAGCTTCGACCATCCGGAGGCCAGGGGATCACATGAGCATCCTTGGACGTCCGCAGTGGGCACATCCTCCGCCAGTGCTGGGCCCCGTCCGTGCACCCCTGGACAGCTCTTTTGGGCCCCTTTCCGCGCACCAGGGAGGGGTGCGGAGATGTGCTGCGCCAAAGGGCAATGCCAAGAGGGGACGGGCTCTGAGGCGGATGCGTCGTCCCCCAGTCGCCCACTCATCGCCGATAGGGGCCCGACATCCCACCCCGCTCAGGAACGTACGCTTTCGCTGTCGAACCCTATCGCCGATTTATCGGCGATCTCTTGTCGGGGAAACGTAAGACTCGAGTATGCCGGGACTTGGGTTTGCCGGCGCTTTTTGACGGTCCAGTTTTCGTGGGATGTTTGCAGCGGGAGCTCGCGTCAAATTTCAGAGTGGGTCTCGTCATTTTCATGGTGGCCCCTGTCAGGCTAACCCGAGTCCCCCGAACCTGAGCCTTACGTCTTTCCAATATTGTCGATTCGAGATCGATGTTGTCCCTCCTGAGCTGGCCCCCCACGATCATTGCCTCTCATGGTCGCGGACGCCCGAAGTTTGTGCTCAAGTCTTCCTCCGCCCTCCTGACCGTGGCGCCCCGTTCTTCGAGGCGAGGTCGGCGCTCTTTCGCCGAGAGCTCCTCGACAAGTGGATCGACGATGGCTGGGCGCAGCAGTGGAAGGCCAGCACGCGCGTGAGAGCAGCCGACGGCGATGACGCCGGAGTGAGCCGCCTGAGCAGGATCGGAGACGGTGCTGTTCCTGCAGTCCGCAGCGATGACCAACAAGGAGACGCAGAGCTCTTCGTCGGCACGCCCTCGAACAACGCGATCTGCAAGGGGTTGGTCGAAGAGCTCGTGGCGGCTGGGGGCCGAACACTGTTTGGACGCCACGTGCGGAAGGCGCGGTTCGAGGGGAAATGCGGGGCCCCCAGTGAAGACACTAACACGACAGCCGATCATGAGGCAGGCGTTTGGCGCGTCACCGCGACCAAACGCAGCGGGGACAATCGCGAGGAGGAGGAGGTGGAAGAGTATGCGTTCGATGCCCTGGTCCTGTCGGACAAGCTGCTGCTCCTGCCGAACCAGTACGCCGTGCTGGGGGAGGCGGAGGGGCGGGCGCTGCTGGGCCTCCAGGATGCCGAGACACCGCCGGCTCCCCCAGAAGCTTCGCCGGGGCCCGCCTCGTCCCGCGCCCAGCTCGTGCTGATGCTGGCCTTCTGGCCGCCGCTTCAGGACGGGGCCAGACGAAAGGGCAGGGTAGGGAAAGGGGGGGGGATACGAGATCTGCTGCAGGCAGTTGTTTGCCGCCCTCCGCCTCGCCGCTGGGCCCATTCCTCGATTCACGGGCGCCTCCAGGAAGGAGGCGCCAGGAAGGTCAGCTACGTGAGCTGATGAATTGCCCTTCGAGTAGAGGATCGACTAGGGACTTGACTTGCCCCCATCTATATATGTTTCGTCGAATGTACGAAACATAAACATATGTAGAATGTTCCGCAGATCTACTGAGCGTTCTACGTGCTTGGTTCGCAGATTCGACGGGAAACAAATTTGGGTGTGGATGAATTCTGTAGTCGATCCCTAATTCGAGCACTACCTTTTGCTATATCCTGCAGTCGACCCGCATGGCAAGGATGGGCAACCTTCCCAAGGGCACCTTTGCATCCCTTCCTCATCGGTGCATCCGGTCACTTTCGTTGGCCGCGCCCCTCTTCGAGGTGGCCCTCCGAGGACCCTGCACCCTTACCGCGCATCCTTCTGATACGGGGCGCCTGCACCGCTTCCGCCCCCCCCCCCCGACAGGGCGTGGAGGAGGACGTGGTCTGGGTCGCGGGCTCGGAGGGGGCGGGCGAAGGCGGCGAGGAGGCCGTCCTCGAGCTCGTCGTGCGCGACTCGCGCAAGCCAGGCAGGGCGGCCGCCCCCGACCTCTGGGTGGTGCGCTCCACCTCGGCCTGCACGGGGGGCAAACAGGGGGTCCAGAGGAGGCCCGTGCCAGGGAGCACCCCGCTTGCCTCCGGGGTGCCCTGGGCTTCCTGGGCTTCGAGGGTCTTGCGATGGGAGGCGTGAGGGTCTCGCACCAAGAAGCAATGGACGTCCTGGGGTCTGAGGGTTGGGTATCTTGTGGAAGGTTTCTTGTGGTCGAGCTCCTTCCGTACGCACACCGCTGGCCCCCTTCCCTCAGAGGAGGAAGAGGTACTCGAGGCCTCCTAGATAGGGTCCGAGTAGATGGGGCAGGAGGATCGCGCCGCATCTCCAATGCATCGCCGATGTGTCGGCGATGCATCGTCGATGCATCGGGGATGCATCGACCGACGACGTCGGCGATGCATCGACCGACGACGTCGGCGTGGGAAAACACGGGCTCCACATCGAGCTGCATCGTCGATGCCTCGGCGATGCGGCGCGATCCACCGACCATTTCTACTCGGACCTCACCTAGGAGGCCTAGAGGCACCCACATCGCTGCTACCTTCCCTCGCTTTCACCTGTTTGTTGGCCTCCTGGGAGGCCCTCGTTGCCACCGCTGGATGCGCCTCGAAATCCTGGTCAGAAAGCTCCCCGGGAGCAGCGGCATCGGTACTTGTTGGCTTCCCCAGGCCTACGCCCTGCGGGAGCTGGCGCCCGCGTCGCTGAGTTCCGACGCGGGCCCAGCACTGCGAGACTCGGAGGGCACCGGCTGTGCACCCGCCCTGGACCTGGCCAGGCCGATCCCGGGCCCAGGCTCGGGTGGTGCGCCTTCCTGCGCAGGCCAAGAGGGCGCACACATCTGTCCAGGCCTCCCAGACGGGGTCGGAGGATCGCGCCGCATCGCCGATGCACCGGCGATGCGGCTCGATGTGGAGCCCGAGTGTCACCACGCCGACGGCGCCGATGCGGCGCGATCCTGCGACACCATCTCCAAGGACCCTATCTACGAGGCCTCTAAGACGCAGCTCCTGGACCCAGGAGCGGCCTGGCCAGGCTCGGTGCAGGCGTGCGGTTGGCGCCCTCCCAGAGACGAGCGCAGAGTGCGCGAGGAGATGCTGGAAGCCTTCGGGAGGCTGCTCGGCGTGGGCGACCGGCGGCCGCTCTACAGCACGGCGGCGCGCAGAGACGGGGCCGGGGCGAGGGGGGCCCGCACTCCCCCTTCCTCCTCGATCCTCGATCCTCCTCCTCCTCCTCCTCCTCCTCCTCCTCCTCCTCCTGCTCCTCCTCCTCCTCCTCCTCCTCCTCCTCCTCCATCTCCCTCCTCCTCCTCCTCCTACCTCCTCCTCCTACTCCTCCTCCTCTCCTCCTCCTCCTCCTCCTCCTCCTCCTCCTCCTCCTCCTCCTCCTCCTCCTCCTCCTCCTCCTCCTCCTCCTCCTCCTCGATTCCTTGTCCTCATGAATATAGCCCCCCTGTCGCTCCCCAAGGCCAGTCAGCAGAAGGGCGGGCCAGGCGTTTCGCCCGAGACTTGCGTACCATTTGTAATCCTGAAGCGTAACAGATAGAAACAGCTTCACCGATGGATGACGGGCTGATTTCAAAACGGGGCTCTCGTCTCAGCACCGTCGCCGAGGACATTCGCTTTCAATTGTTGCAAGAGTATCACGGATTGAGGGCGGACCGTGCTCCGCGCATAGTCTTCGTAAACATTCGCAAGAGTTTCACCGATTGAGAGCGCTTTTGTTCAACATGTGGTTCTCGCCACAGAGCCCAGCACACTCGTCTGAATTGTTTGCAAGAGTTTCACGAGTCCCCATGGTCAGCGTACCAGACATGGCACTTGGGAACGATCCAGGATTGTCAGGGCGCAACAGTTACATTGATTCGCGGTTCTGAAGTCGCAGGAATGGTGTTCTGTCACGGTTTAGGATCGTCAGGACGCAACAGTCAGATTGGTTCGTGGCGTTTGAGTCCCGAGAATGGTGTTTTGGCACGCTTCAGGATGTTCCAACGATTGTCTTCCAACGGGGCACTTCCCACAGTGGGAATGAATCCTTGTAGGGGCCTGCGAAGAGGGAGCTTCGAGAGAGGGTTTATTCCGACATCGTTGATGAGTCTTCGGTTTGCATTGGTCCTCATCCTCTTCCTCCTCCTCCTCCGCCTCCGCCTCCGCCTCCTTCTCGATTCACCTCCTCCTCCTCCTCCTCCTCCTCCTCCTACCTCCTCCTCCTCCTCCTCCTCCTCCTCCTCCTCCTCCTCCTCCTCCTCCTCCTCCTCTTGTATCCGCTTCCGCGGGCCCCCAGAAGATGCCCCCCCGAAAGGCGAGGAGGCCGCCCCTGGGCCAGGGCCTCCCGCGATCCGCCCGCTGCGCTTCGGTGCGCCGGCCGGCGCCGCGAGTTCGATCCGACTCGGCTCGGCTCGGCTCGCCGGCCTCGGCCGGGGCCAGCTGGAGCCGGGCGCGGCGATCCGTTCCCGAGGCGACCCGCGGGGCGCTCCGCGTTGGCGCTCCGGCCTGCGGCGTGTCCGCTCTGGCTCCGCGCTTCGGTGCGGCTCGGGCCATGGCCCCGCCGTGCGCCCCGTGGCCCCCAGAGATCCAGCGTGTGTGTATATATATGTTTATATATATATATATACACATAAATACATACAGACAGACAGACAGACAGACAGACAGACAGACAGACAGACAGACAGACAGACAGACATACATACATACATACATAAGCGGCGTCCAGGGCCCCGCGGCCCAGGGTCGCACATTTCCCCCCCCCCCCCCCCCCGTAACCGAATTTGCCCCCTGGACTGCGGGGGCCTTTTTTGGCATCCAGGGGTCCGTTTTCGGAGTCCCGGAGCTTTTTTCCGCTTCTCCGAGGCGTCCACCTAGGCTTCTGGAGACGGCAAGAAGCCGCCAAGACGGCCCAGGACCACTCCACGCCGCCCAAGATGGCCATGATCGGCCCAAGAGGCCCCCAAGATGCCCCAAGGTCGCTCCGCGAGGACCTCCAAGAGAGCCCCAGGACGCCAAAATCATTGATTTTCATAGTGTGTTGCCAATCTGTGTTGCTTCTCACGTTTTCGAGCGGCCGACACTCCAAGACTGCCCAAGAAGCCTCCAACGTCGCCCCAAGAGGGCCGCATGATCGGCCCAAGAGGCCCACAAGACGGCCCAAGAGGGCCTGAAGAGGGCCTGAAGACGGCTCCAAGATGGGCCCAAGAGAGGGAACGCGAACCGACCTTTCGAGTTTCCCGCCCCCAGAGACCCCCAGGAGGCCCCAAGAAGCCCCCAAGTGGCTCCAAGAAGCTCCAAAGAGACCCCAAAGATGCTTAAGAGAGGTCCGTTAAGCTCCACAACGCCCCCGTGGAGGCTTCAAACCTGCTTCCGAAAGACCCCCCGAGAGGCATCCCACGATCTCATCACAGCGAACATCCGAGAAGCCTCTAACCCACAACCCAGACACGGTTGCGGGATGGCCCAGAATTGCGACCTTTGGTTCGCATGGGGGGTTTGGGGGAGCCTTGAGGGCTCCAAGAGGGTTCAGAAGGGGCCCCAGACCCTTCCAGAGGCTCCCAAGCTGGCCCAAGGTATCCCAAGGAGGCTCCAGACAGCCCCCCCAAATGCCCGAACAGAGGCGCCCTCTGCCCCAAGAGGCCCCCAGGAGGCACCAAGAGACCCCCAGGAGGCCTCCACGACGCCCCAAAAAGCATCCAAGAAGGCTCCCGAGAAGCTCCCGAGGAACCCCCACCGAGCTCGCAGGAGGCCTCTACACAGACCCTCAGAAGCCCGCCAGAAGCCCTTCGTCCTCCATGCTCCGGAACAGCCCTTCGGAACACGTGGCCCTGGCTGCACCCCCGACCAGCCCACCCAATGTCGAGGCCCGAGGACGCCCCCACGGCGCCCGCAAGACGCTCCAGAAACGCCTCTCCCGCACACGTGGATCAGGTGACAATGATGCTGATCGTCGGTGGTCCGTCGTCGTCGTCGTCGTCGTCGTCGTCGGTCGTCGCTGCCAAGCTACAGGCCAAACCCTTTCTTGAATTTCGCAGTACCCGCCCGAAAATCACGCATGGGTGAAAGGGAGGAGCCCGGAAGACCACATAACACCGTCTTCGGAGTCGACTAGAACCTAAGCGCGCGCGAAGCGCGCGCGTGGTTCTAGTTGAAAAATCAGGACGGAGGTTTTTCGCAAATTTCGGCCCCCAGGGGCCCTCGCCGGGCCTCGGGGCCGTCAAGAAATGATTCAGGACGAAAAGCCGGCCCATGGGAATGGGTCGAGACTTCCGGGGGCCGCGCATTGAAAAAATCGCGACGTCGGATCTCTGGGGCCCCCTCCTCGTCTGCGCGCCGCCGTCGCCAGCGCCTCCGTGTTCCCGTGGGACCATGCGCGGCCGATGCGGCAGGTTCACTGGGCGCGTTTTCCACGACTCGGAGAGTGCCCATACTCGCAAATGGCCGGAGCAACTGCAGTGGAGGCCCACGCCAAGAAACACCCTGCTTGCCTCCGGGGGCCAGGGGGCCCTTGGTTTCTCGGGTTTCGACGGCTTTGCGATGGAAAGCGTGACGTGTCCACACCAAGAAGAATGAGTGGGCGTCCTGGGGTCTCAGGGTTGGGTTTCTTGTGGAAGGTTTCTTGTGGACTGGCCTCCACTGTAGGTCTTCCTCCAGTGAATGTATCGTAAATCCGCGGCGGCGGATCCAGGCCATTTGCGAGCAGTTACTCTGCGAGTAGTAGAGCGCGCTCGTCCACAGGTGGCCGCGGGTGGGGCAGCGTTCTCGCTGGACGCGGGCCGCCGGCTGGGGGCATGCGGGGATTTCTTCGCCGCGGGGGTCGGGCGCGCGCCGCTGGAGGGCGTGGAGGCCGCGGCGGTCAGTGGCTGGCAGCTCGGCGAGGCGCTGGGGGAGCTGCTGCTGCAGCCGGCGCGCGGGGACTGAGAGGGGCAGTTTCCTGCGGGCGGAGGCCTCCACTGAGCGCGTCCGCGCTTGAGGCAGCTCCCTCAACACCCACCTGAAAGATTCGAACCATCTGTCAATGTTCTGCCTTTCAAACAGTCTGTCAACGTTCTGCCTCTGACACCTGTAGCCGTCTCATCATGATGCTCGCATGACTTCGATCAGTCTCCCCGTTCCTTGTCGCACCCGGATCTTCCAGCGCAAACCGCGCAAAGAATATGCAATCTTCTTGTCGGCGCGTTCCGGGCCATCTCGCAGCGCAGGGTCACTGGGACGCAAGCGCCCAGGTCTCTGCACGAACGAAATGGGCACGGAAAGAATGGGTACAATGCCCAACAGCGGATTTGGTTCATTTGAACAGGACTCGCTGTCCACGCCGGCGCGGCCCTGTGTCCATTCGAGACAGAAGGCCGCCTGCCCAACAGCGGCCGCTGTTGGTTTGGGACAACACTTGTTGTTGGGCATTGTTTCCGTTTTTTCCGTACCCATTTCGGGCGCCCAGAAGGTCGGGCAGACGGTGAAGGTCAAGCGGGAGGGAGGGAGGGAGGGAGGGAGGCAGGGAGGGAGGGAGGAGGAGGAGGAGGAGGAGGATGCATCAAGAGCATCAAGGTCAGATCAGCAGCGGGGCAAGAGGGAAGGGACGATCGGCGGCGCGCCCGACGGAGGAGGCAGAGGGAGCCCTGCCCTCTCGGAGGACGACGGGGCGCCTCGGGAGCCCTCGGCGCTCCGCGGCTTGGGAGAAGGCGCGCAGAGAGCTGCCCACGAGGCTGGAGGTTTCCCGAGCCTTCCCCCCTCGGGCACGCAGCCGAGAGGAGGAGGGAGGAAGCAGGAGGTGGGAAGGTGAGATGGAGGAAGAAGCGGCGAGGTAAACGGAATGATTAGAGATGTCGGGGCAAGAAGGGAGAAGGACTGAGGAGGGTGGGGGCAGTAGTAGTAGTAATAGTAGTAGTAGTAGTAGTAGTAGTAGTAGTAGTAGTAGTAGTAGTAGTAGTAGTGGTAGTAGTAGTAGTAGTAGTAGTAATAGTAGTAGTAGTAGTAGTCGTCGTCGTCGTAGTAGTAGTCGTAGTAGTAGTAGTTATAGTACTACTACTACTACTACTACTACTACTACTACTACTAGTCGTAGTAGTAGTAGTAGTAGTAGTAGTAGTAGTAGTAGTAGTAGGAGTAGTGGGAGTAGTAACTTAGTAGTAGTGGTAGTAGTGGTAGTGGTCGTGGTAGTAGTCGCAGTCGCAGTCGCAGTCGTAGTCGTAGTCGTAGTCGCAGCCGTAGTCGTAGTCGTAGTCGTAGTCGTAGTCGTAGTAGTAGTAGTAGTAGTAGTAGTAGTAGTAGTAGTAGTCGTAGTCGTAGTCGTAGTCGTAGTCGTAGTCGTAGTCGTAGTCGTAGTCATAGTCGTAGTAGTAGTAGTAGTAGTAGTAGTAGTAGTAGTAGTAGTAGTAGTACTAGTACTAGTACTAGTACTAGTAGCAGTTGTGGTAGTAGTGTTAGTAGCAGGAGTAGTTGTAGTAGCAGTAGCCGTAGTAGTAGTAGTATAGTATCGTATAGTATAGCCAAGCATAGTATTTGTAGTAGTTGTAATCGTAGTAGTCGTCGTTTTAGTAGTAGTAGTAGTAGTAGTAGTAGTAGTAGTAGTAGTAGTAGTAGTGGTAGTAGTAGTATTAGTAGTAGTAGTAATAGTAGTAGTAGTAGTAGTAGTAGTAGTTGTAGGTGTAGTAGTAGTAGTTATAGAAGTAGGCATAGTAGCAGTGGTAGTAGTAGTAGTAGTAGTCGTAGTAGTAGTCGTAGTAGTAGCAGCAGTACTAGTAGTAGTAGTAGTAGTACGAGTAGTAGTAGTAGTAGTAGTAGTAGTAGTAGTAGTAGGAGTAGTAGTAGTAGTAGTAGTAGTAGTAGAAGTAGCAGTAGTGGTAGTAGTAGTAGTAGTAGTAGTAGTAGTAGTAGTGGTAGTAGTAGTAGTAGCAGTAGTAGTAGTAGTAGTAGTAGTAGTAGTCATGTGTCGCCGTTGCCGTCGTTGTCGTCGCAGTAGTAGTTGTAGTCAGTGAAGTAGTACAGTAGTAGTAGTAGTAGTAGTAGTAGTAGTAGTAGTCGTAGTAGTAGTAGTAGTAGTAGTAGTAGTAGTAGTGGTAGTCGTCGTCGTCGTCGTAGTCGTAGTCGTAGTCCCAGTCGTAGTAGCAGTAGTAGTAGTAGTAGTAGCAGTAGTAGTAGTAGTAGTAGTAGTAGTAGTCGTAATGGCAGTCGTACGTCGTAGTCGCAAACGTAGTAGTAGCAGTAAAGCTATGAATATCAGTGTTACTGTACGAGCAGTAGCAGTAGCAACAGAAATGTTCATCGCAGTTTAGTCGCCGTAGCATTCGTAGTATTAGCCGTAGTAGCTGTAGCATGTGCAGTAGTACCAGCGGCACTAGTAGCAGCCGCACTCGTAGTAGTAGGGGTCGTAGTCGTAGTCGTTTTCGTAGTCGCAGTCGCCGTCGTAGTAGCCGTAATCGTCGTAGCAGAAGTAGTAGTAGTTGTAATAGTAGTGGTAGTAGTATGAATGGCCGTAGTAGTAGTAGTAGTAGCAGTAGTCGTCGTAGTAGTAGTAGCCGTGATAGTAGTAGTGGTAGTGGCAGTAGTAGCAGTAGTAGTAGTAGTAGTAGTAGTAGTAGGGGCAGTAGTAGTAGCAGTTGTAGTAATAGAGATGGTCGTAGTTGCAGCAATATCAGTAGTAGTAGTAGTAGTAGTAGTAGTAGTAGTAGTAGTAGTCGTAGTCGTAGTAGTAGTAGTACTAGTCGTACTAAGAGTAGTAGTAGTAGAAATAGTAGTAGTACTACTACTACTAGTCGTAGTCGTAGTTGTAGTCGTAGTCGTAGTCGTAGTCGTAGTCGTAGTAGTAGTCGTAGTCGTAGTCGTAGTCGTGGTGGAGGGCATCGTAGTAAAAGTAGTAGTAGTAGTAGTAGTAGTAGTAGTAGTAGTAGTAGTAGTAGTAGTAGTAGTAGTCGTAGTAGTAGTAGTAGTAGTAGTAGTAGTAGTAGTAGTAGTAGTGGTAGTAACAGTAGTAGTAGTAGTCGTCGTGGTAGTAGTAGTAGTAGTAGTAGTAGTGGTAGTAGTAAAAGTAGTGGTGGCAGACATAATAGTAGTAGTAGTAGTAGTAGTAGTAGTAGTAGTAGTAGTAGTGGTGAGAGTAGCGGTAGAAGTAGTAGCAATAGTCGTAGTAGTCGTAGTGCTTAGTCGTAGTAGTAGTAGTAGTAGTAGTAGTAGTCGTCGTCGTCGTCGTCGTCGTCGTCGTCGTCGTCGTCGTCGTCGTCGTCGTCGTCATCGCCGTCTTCGCAGTAGTAGTTCTAGTCGTAGTATCTATTGAAGTTGCAGGTCGGAGTAGTCGTAGTACTCGTAGCAGTAGTTGTAGTAGTAGTAGTAGTAGTGGTAGTAGTAGATCTAGGAGTAATAGTAGTAGTAGTAGTAGTAGTAGTAGTTTAAGTAGTAACCGTACTTGTCAGAATCGTATCCTTTGCAGTAGTAGTAATATCAGTCGTAATAGTAGTTAGTAGTAGTAGTAGTAGTAGTAGTAGTAGTAGTAGTAGTAGTAGTAGTAGTAGTAGTAGTAGTAGTAGTAGTAGTAGTAGGTAGTAGCAGTAGCAGTAGTAGTAGTAGTAGTGTAGTAGTAGTAGTTAGTTTATTGTAGTTGTAGTCGTGGGTAGTAGTAGTAGTAGTAGTAGTAAGTAGCAGTAGCAGTAGTCTAGTAGTAGTAGTAGTAGTAGTAGTAGTAGTAGTAGTAGTAGTAGTAGTATATAGCAGTAGTAGTAGTAGTAGTAGTAGTAGTATCATTAGTAGTAGTAGTAGTAGTAGTAGAAGTAGTAGTAGTAGTAGTAGTAGTAGTAGTAGTAATAGTAGTCGTAGTAATCGTAGTCGTAGTCGTAGTAGTAGTATTAGTAATAATCGTAGTAGTAGCAGTAGTATTAGTCGTAGTAGTCTAAGTAGGCGTAGTAGTATCAGTACTAGTAGTAGTAGTAGGCGTCGCCGTCGTAGTAGTACTCGTAGTTTTTCTCGTAGTAGTAGTAGTAGTAGTAGTTGTAGTAGTAGTAGTAGCAGTAGTAGTCGTAGTAGTAGTAGTAGTAGTAGTAGTAGTCGTCGTCGTCGTATTCGTAGTAGTAGTGTTGGTGGTAGTAGTGGTAGAGGTAGCAGTCGTAGTCGTAGTCGTCGTCGTCGTTGTAGTAGTAGTAGTAGAAGTAGTAGTTGTAGTCGTAGTCGTAGTCGTAATCGTAGTCTTAGTCGTAGTCGTAGTCGTAGTCGTAGTCGTAGTCGTAGTAGTAGTAGTAGTAGTAGTAGTAGTAGTAGTAGTAGTAGTAGTAGTAGTAGTCGTCGTAGTATTCACGCCACACTCCGCCCGCGCCCCCCCACACGAAAGGTTCTCCACGGTTCGACGCCTTGCGCTCCCGCTCTGCGATATCCACGGCGGCATACGCGTGCATTGGCAACGGGTGGTGATGGGGATGGGGGTGAGCTACGAAATAGCCGCCGCCATGCGCTTTCCTAGGTACATAGGCGACCATGGCGCCGGGAGGCGCCTGGAAATCTAGCTACGTGAGCAGATATGCTTGCCGATTGCGGGTCCACAGCCAACGGCGGAGGCCGAGGGTTGTGGACCCGCACTGTGAACCCGCACTCGGCGAGCAAATCCGCTAACGTGCCACTGGACCCGCACGTCTCGGTGGCCTCTGAGGCCGTCTGGGATGCCTCTCGGGTCGTCTTGGAATCGTCTTGGGCTGGCTCGGAGCCCTCTTGAAGGCCGCTCGGGCCGTCTGGGGCCGATCTCGGGAGCCTCCCCAGCCGCTTTGGAGTGGCAGGAAGCCGAGACGGTGGACCCGCATTGTGGACCTGCGCTTCGCACCCTTCTCGACCCGAGCTTCGGGCACACCGCTCGTGGGGGCCGGCGCGGGGGCCCCGGCGACGCGAGCCGAGGCGAGCGCCGGAGCCGTGCGCGCCCCGCGGGGGAGCCCGCCCCCCGCCCATCCTGGGGAGCCCCGCCCACCCTGGGCGAGCAAGAGGTGATGGGCCGATTTCCCACCACCACCACCATGGGTAGGACGGGGGAGAAGTGAGGATGGGGACGTTCTCCTCCTCCTCCTCCTCCTCCTCCTCCTCCTCCTCCTCCTCCTCCTCCTCCCACCCCTACTCCTCCTCTTTCTCCTCCTCCTCCTTTTCTTTCTCCTCCTCCCTCTCCTACCTACTTATGGTAGCGGTTGTGGACCATCAGCCCTTCAAGGGGGGGGAAGTCGGCCACGCGCAATCACAGGAGGTTGTTCGCAGTTTTCGGCCTCCGGGTGATACTGCAGGGCCCCCGGACTAGCAAAAACGACTCAGGACGAGAACTTGGTCCCGGGGAAGGAGTCGAGATCTCTGGGGGTCGGCGTTATGAACACACATCATGACCTCGGCGGTCTGGGTGGGGCGCGGCCGAGAAAACTGCAGCCGTGGGTCGAACCGCCCCCGATGCGTCGTTCTCGGCCGCACGCAGAGGGGGGGTAGCTATAGGGGGAGGGAGGGATGGAAGCTTCTTGGATCAAGGGAGGAAAAAAACACCCGGATCGGACAATCGGCGTTTACTAAACGGCCTTGGGCGTTTACTAAATGCCTTGCCTTTCTGGATTCCTCCTTTGGGTGCGTTTACTAAACGGCTTCGCTTGTCGGGGTGATTCTTATGAGGGTGGATGTTCTTCCCTTTATGAGAAGCACCCCTGCTTCTTAGAAGGCGCGGGCCCTGTCTGCAGACGTAGGACCGGCGCCTTCCAAGAAGCAGGGGCGCTTCCAGGAGGCCTTCCCCCCTCCCTCGACCTCCCTGCGCGCACCGCCAAGGAAGGAACGGCCGCGCGTCCCGAGGGGCGGCACCGTGCCAGGTGGCAGGGGCTGCTTCCTCCAGTGAAGCAAAGCATGGGTTGAGACGCGTGGATCCGCGACGGGTCCACGCTCCCGTGCGCCATTCAGAGTCGGCGCGCTCCGCTGCCGCATCGGCCCGCCCTGGCCCCATATCTCGGGGGGGGGCCTGCCTCGATGCGTGGAGCCGGCGCCCGCGCGCCGGAGCCACAGATGCGCAGTCCATGTCGGCGAGTGCCCGACTCTTGGAGGGGGCCGGGATCGCGCCCTTCTGCTGGCCTCTGTCTGGGAAGGCCCCTGGGGCGGCCAGAGGGCTCCCGTCGGGAGGTGGCCTCTGTCTGGGCAGGCCCCTGGGGCGGCAGGAGGGCTCCTGTCGGGAGGGGCGCCGTCTTGGAGGAGGGCACTCCTGTGCCCTGCCCCCCTCTTGCGCTCCGCCGACAACCCTGATGGGCCTGTTTTCCACCACCACCACCACCACCACCAGAAGTTGGAGGCGGGGAGGAGGCGGAGGATGAGGAGGAGAACGCGGAGGAGGAGGCGGGAGGAGGAGCCCCTCTCCCTCCAGCTTGTGGTGGTGGTGGTGGAAAACGAGCCCACCAAGCCCTCCTCCTCGGTCCCTGCCGGGATGCCCCCCATCTGTCTCGCTCCCTCCGGCGCGCTGCCGCCGCCCGGCGGGGCCGGGCAGGCCCAGCTCCAAGGTGCCGGCCAAGGCCGGCACGGTGCAGCTGGGCGTCGACACGTACGGCGGCGGCCTGTGGCACACCTGGTTCGACCGGCCGCTGGGGCTGGCGGGGAAGGCCCCTTCGGCCGCCATACACCCAGATCTGGACGCCCGAAGCGGGTACGGAAAGAATGGGTACAATGCCCAACAGCAGTTCCTGTTCATTTTGAACAGGACTCGCTGTCCGCGCCGCGGCCTGTGTCCATTTGGGACAGAAGGCCGCCTGCCCAACAGCGGCCGCTGATGGTTTGGGACAACATTTGTTGTTGGGCATTGTACCCATTTGTTCCGTACCCATTTCGGGCGTCCAAACCAGAGATCCAGCGCATTGGAAAATTCAGTCAGGACGGAGGCTTTTCGCAGATTACGGCCCGCAGGGGTCCTCGCCGGGCCTCGCGAGACCGTCGAAAAGCGACTCAGGACGAAAAACCAGTCCTGGGGAATGGGTCAAGTCAGGGCCCCGAATCATCAGGGGTAACTCGGGTCAGGGATAACTCGGGTTCGTTTCTCGGGAATCCAAACCCGAGTTACCCCGGACCCGAGTTACCCCGGATAACTCGGGCGTCCAGAGCCCCGAATCATCAGGGGTAACTCGGGTCAGGGCTAACTCGAATTCGTTTCTCGGGAATCCAAACCCGAGTTACCCCGGACCCGAGTTACCCCGGATAATTCGGGCGCCCAATCAAGACTTCCGGGGACCGCGCACCGACACAAAATCACGACATCGGAGCTCTGGGAAGAAGTCTGGTGTCTTGTGAGCAGAAAAACGTATCCATATCCGCGGCTTTGCGGGCTGAGCGGGCCGCGACTCGGCGGATACGGATCGTTGTTGGGCGGATGTCCTGCGCGTAAGGCATCCGTGCGATTGCGTAACCGCGTGACCGCGCCCTGGAGTCCAGACAGCGCTGGTGCGGAGACGGGCGTGTTCGCCGCTCGGGAGGGTCCCGAGGGGGAGGGGTCTTCGGGTTGTTTGGCGGCTTCGGCCTCCCAGGGCTCTCCCACGGGCCCCGGGGACAGGAGGTTGCTGTGGATGGCAACCCGGGGCAAAGCCCCCAGTCCAGGACTGGGCGCGAGGTAAGGGGGGGGGGGGGAAGGTGCCCTCTTGGGACCCTGAAGGCTCCTTTTCGGACCCTGAAGACCCCCTTCTGGGGCCCTGCAGGGCCCCTTTAGGGGCCCTGACGGGCCCCTTTCTTGCAGCCCTCGCTGTTCCCAAATTCATTGTCCCCATGAGTTCGCGCCAAACAGGACCCCGCCCCTAGTGCCGACTTGTGAGGAGTCGGGGTTGACGAGGAGGAAGAGGACGAAGAGGAGGACGCGGAGGACGAGGGCGAGGAGGACGAGGAGGAAGAGGAGGGCGAGGAATAGGAGGAGGAGGAGGAGAAGGAGGAGGAGGAGGAGGAGGAGGACGAGGACGAGGAGAGCCAGGAGGAAGATGAAGAGAAGGAGGGGTCAGGGAGGACGACGGGAGGACGAGGAGTAAGAGGAGGACGAGGAGGAGGAGGAGGAGGAGGAGGAGGAGGAGGAGGAGGGCGAGGGCCGTCGGCGGCGCCCTCCACGAAGGGTGCCAGGACAGAGGGGGCCTCCCTCCAAGAGGGCACTCCTCCTCTCCTGGAGCCCATAGGAGACCTCCCCCAGCCTCCTACCAGAAGGATGCGCTTCAGGAGAGAAAACAAAAAAAACAGACAGAATGAATCGTCGATTCCCTAGAAAATTTGGGAAAATATGGAAAGTGGGGGGGGAAGACAAGAACACTGAAAATATTTGAAAATATGGAGGATCCTGTTATTTGTGTCTATTCATTTGTGTGTCCCAGGGCCCCTTCAGCGATCGAGAAGGGTGCGCGCCCTGCAGCAGCAAGTGCAGTGGGCGCGGATGGCAGAGGAGGCAGCATATTGGATCGGATCGAAGCGAGCGAGGCGCTCGAGGAGTCCAAAAGAGATTTGTCTTCAAGAGGCTGCCTGGCATGGGCCATCGATGGCCGCTCTTCAGAGGGACCTCTCCAGAACAAGAGACATTCACGCAAGCACAACACGTCAGAGGTCCGCGCGGATTGATCGATCTCTCCCACGCTTGATGCGCTTGTCTTCCTCTCCTGAGAGGTGCTGGTTGGCTCTGGCAACGGCATGTCTGAGCGCCTGGTGCACATCCCAGAGCCCCTGTGCATCATCCCAAATCTGGCGATCCATCTGACCACGGCCGAGGAGCGGAAGGCCTTCGATTTCAACAAGGAGACGCAGCTGCGACCGGTGCTGTGCAGCGCGCTGCCCTCCCGCGAGGCAGCGCCCGCAGAGGGCGGCGACAGCGGCGAGAAGAAGGACGACGGCAAGAAGGGCGGCGAGCGACACCACCGCACCCTCCTGGACGAGGTCGCGAAGGCCGCGGGCGTCGAGCCCGAGGCCATCCTGGACGTGGACCTCTGCCTGATGGACGCTACGCCCCCCTGCGTCCTCGGGGATTACGTCTCCACCCCGCGTATAGACAACGTGCTCAGCACCTGGGCGGCCTTCGACGGCCTCAGCCGGAGGAGCCGCAAAGCAGCACAGCATACACTCTGCGATGGTCCGCGCGGAGTCCCATGGTCGCTGCTGGACCCCTGGCGGCGCCTCTGGGGCCGCCCCTGGCTCGCTCCGCCGCTCCGCGTCAAGGGAGAGGGGTTCGTCGCCGACCCAAGGAATCCGCGCAGGCCCTGGAGAAACGAAAAGGTACCGATACCAATACTTCGTGGACCTCTCCCGGGGTCCGTTCCGACCCGGATTTCGAGGATAATCCAGCCGTGGTGATGAGGGCTCTCCTGGACGAGCAGCGGTATCGGTATATTTTCCCGCTGTGATTGTTTATGCCGCTTTTTGTTCTTCCGTTATTGCCTTCGCGGAGGGTGGTGGCGCGGAGTCATCTTGCGACGTGTGCGTGGCGGCGTCTTTTGACCACGAGGAGGTCTCAGCCACGCGCAAAGGGGTGGGGGGGGAGGGGGAGGGCTTCTTAGAAGCACACCTGCCTCTTAGAAGGCGCGGGCCTTCTTTACAGATGTAAGGCCGGCGCCTTCTAAGAAGCAGCCTGCTTCTGAGAAGCCCTCCCCCCTCTCTTGGTAGGTGGATCTCTCAAGCTATCCGCCGCCCCTGGCGGTGCGCACTGCGAGCAGGAGCACAGCGAAGCCCCAGAAAGCGCGGCATTGACAGCGTAGCTCCGCACACGTGACACTGCCAACGAGCAGGACACGGTGGAGCCCCGGGAGAGCGAGGCATTGACAGTGCAGCCCATGCACGCCCCCACAGGTCGGCAGCGTCTCCGCCGCGGGCGCGGACTCGGCGATCCTCGAGCGGTGGCTGAAGCGGGCTCTGGAGGCGCTGGGCGGCTGCGCCTGGCCGGAGATCGCCTCGAGGCGCCCCGGGGGGGTCCGACCCCAGGCCGCCTCGGGGCCTTCTTCAGTCGGGCCTGCCCCTCGACAGGAGGCATGCTCAAGAATAGTTTTAAAACATAGGAGGGAGAGGAGTTTTGTGTTATAATATTCACAGCATGTTTGGTGTATTTTTCCCTTTCGTCCAAAATCAGCCTGTAGGGAGACATGCCCGACCGAAAGGTATTCGAAGATGTTCGACGGATTCCTGCAAGTTTGCGAGCCCTGAAGTGGCGTCCGTCCGGTCCGCCTCGTCGCGAGCTTTACGGGGAGCCTAGAATTCTCCCAAACGGCCGCTCGAGGTCCGAGATGTGACCCGCAAGCATGACACCCTCGCATCGTGAAACAATCTCGACGGCTGGTCTCTCGCGGACGGGGCGGAGATGCAAAGTTTTGCCCTCGGCCCTCGAGGGGCCACGGTGAAAGGCTTTCGGAAGTTCTCTGAAGGGCCTCTGGAGGGCTCCAGAAACCTCCGGAGCCCAGGGACCTCTGGGGGCCTCCTGGGCTCCAGAAGACCGGCTCGGGACGTAAAGCCCGCCGCCGGCGAAGGGGTCGTCTGGGGGGGGCCCGCGCGGTGAGCCAGATCGCAGCGTCGGAGATCCGTGGAGAGTCGAGCCAAGCAAGAGGGGGGGATAGGGAAAGGGGGGCTACAACATCTGCTGCCTGAAGCTGGCTTCGGCCCCGCCACCGGGCCCGTTCCTCGATATACGTGGGCGCCTCCCTGCGCCGGGAGGCGCTGGGAAAACCAGCTGCGTGACCGGATTTTCTTGCTATCCCCCCTCTCGTTCCCCGCGAGAGGATTGGGTGGGCAGGAGGGAGGGAGGGAGGGAACGCTCGGGCGGGGCTCGGGCGGCGATTGATCTCTTCCAGAGGCTTCCAGAGCGCTCTCAGGGCGTTCCGGAGCGAGAAGACGGCCGCTGCGCCCGAGGCCTCCCACAGAGCCGCCGGGTCTCGGAGATTCTCGCTTCCTCCTCGCCCGGTTCGGGCCTCGTGTTGGCTTCTTTTCCGGGGAGGGAGCGCGCCGCGCCCGCCGCGTCCCTCGTCGTCCTGCGATCTGCGCCGCCCGCCCGGGCCCGGCCCCGGGAGGCGGCCAGGCCGCCGCCAGAGCGTATGACTGGCCGAGCAGCAGCTGCAGGCAGGGGCTGCAGTCGTCCACACGCCCGGCCCATGCTCGGCGGCCAGCCCAGGGGGGGAGGCGAGGAGGCGTGGGCCGTCTCAGCGCAGGCTCGGAAGGCCCCTCGGCCCTCGGAGAAGTGTCCAACGCCCTCACGGCAAGAAAACTCCTCGGCAAGCTGGAGGGCTTCTGAGGAGCCCCTTCCCTCGGCCTTCTGAGAAGGCCTTCTCCTTCTCATTTCCCCCCCTCGTTCGCCGCCGACATGTGGCCACCAGTCCTACGTGACGTGGGACGGGTGCGGGGGCCCAAGGATGAGGAGGAGGAGGAGGTGGAGGAGGAGGAGGAGGAGGAGGAGGAGGAGGAGGTGGAGGAGGAGGAGGATGGGGTCGCCAGACGAGGAGGAGTGTTTGCAGCTGTGCGTTCGATTATATACATGAGTCTAGCTCCACGGGCACCCATCGGCGTGGGCGGTTCTCCTGTTCCTGCCTCTCGTTCTGCGGGGGGGTGGAGACATGAGAAGTGGAGGAGGAGGAGGAGGAGGAGGAGGAGGAGGAGTGGAGGACAGTAGAGGGAAGACACGAGCAGAAATCAACGTGGCCAGACCCGTGCGATCCAGGGCAACAAAAAAGACCCACGAGCAAATTGGAAGAGCGAAGACAACTTATGGGGATGGGCGTAGCAGGGAAGAGAGGGAGGGATCATAAGATCAAATCCGCCGACCCTGTCGGCGTCTTCGTCGTCTTCGTCGTCGCCGACGCTGTCCTGTTTGACTCGGCGTCTTCGTCGTCGCCGTCGCGTTTGACCCCCCTCATTTCACTGGGCCACCCTCATGCGAGCCAGCCAAAGCGAAGGGGTGGGGGGGTCCCAGGAGGGGTCCCAGGTCAGAATACCATCGTCCCTTGGGGGGGTCTTTGAGCCCAAAAGGCCCCAAGACAGCCCAAGAGGCCCCCAAGACCGTCCAAGAGGGTCCCGAATCGCCGACAATCAGTCCAAGACGCCAAAGATGGCCTCCTGGCAACCCAAGCGGCTTCCAAGACCCTCGAAAGGTCCTCCATGCGCACACCAAGAGAGCCCCAACAGGCAAAATTAAGTGATTTACTTTTGGGTGCTTGAAAGGTTCTGGCGTTCTCGCCTTTTCGGCTTCCCGACGCCCCCATACGGGCCAAGATGCCACCAAGATCGGCACAAGAGGCCCCCAAGAGGTACCCAAGACGGCTCCAAAACGACCCAAGAGCCAAGAGGGCCCTAATACGGCCCCAGAGTCCTCCTACACGGTCCAAGAGGCAGTCAAAACGACCCCAAGCATTTCGAGCCCTCGGCAGCGAGAACCTTTCAGGAGGCCCGCAAGAGGAGACCCCAAAGAGGCCCCCAAGGGGCCCCCAGGAAGATCGAAGGGACCCCCAAGAGGCTCCCAAAAGATGCACCCAAGTGGCCCCAAAAGCCGCCCCCTAGAGGCCTACGAGCGCGCTCCAAAGAGGCCACACGAAGCATTACTGAGGACTCTGCTCCAAATCAGCGTCGTCGTCGCCGCCGACGCCGCCGTCGTGGTCGTAGGGTCGGCGGCACCGGCCATAAGGCCTTCCCAATAGAGGGAAGGGAGGAGGGGAAGGAGGAGGAGAGGAAACGGCGCTCATCCATTCTTCCCTCCCTCCTTCCTCCCTCACTCCTGCTCATCATCCCCCAAAGCTCCAGGACCCCAGAACCATCCAGGAAGCGCCCTAAATGCTCCACTCCCCAACCTCCAGGCAACCCCATCATCTTCAGAAGCTCCAGAACAACAGGATCCTCCAGACATTGTTGACGCTTTGCGAATCCTCACCAGCCCATCCAGAAACGATGCCCAGAGGAATTGCCTCGATCAGGGAAGTGGGCAGCACACAGAGGAAGCCATTATGAGACATCTTGGGATGTCATTTTGGGCTCTCCCAGGCGCTCTTGGAGTCATCTTCATCAGTGCCCCCCCAAGAGGCCAACATGCTGCGAAAACCTGCGTAACATCAATGATTTGGCATTCTCGCCGAGGCCTCTTGGAGTATCTTGGCTGCCTCTGGGGGGTCTCTTGGGGCCTCTTGGGGGTTTCTTCGGGGCCCACTGGGGGCCTCTTGGGGGCCTCTTGGGGCCATCTTGGGTCTATCTTGGGATCTCTCGGGGCCTCATGGGCGCTTCTTGGGGCCATCTTGGAGGAGATCGATCAAACAAGAGGGGAGCTTCAATTATGGCCCCCCCCCAGGAGGCCAAAATGGGGCCGAAACCCTAGTGAAACCAATGATTTTGGCTTCCTCGCCGAGGCCGTTTTGGACGCTCCGACGACTCGCGGAACCCCCTGTCCGGCCATGGAGGGGGTAGGGGGAGGGGTAAACCTCTTCCCGGAGGGGAAGAAGGATGGGTGGAAGAGGAAACGCTCTAAACCACCGACGCCCAGAGGGCTGGTTGGCTTTTGGTGACCATCCTTCCTTCAAATCCTTCTCCTCAAACCTCGTCCGCCTTCCGATCATCCATCCTCCTTCCTTCATTCCTTCCTTCTCCTTCTCCTCTGCCACCTGTATCAGGTAGCCAGCGGCCTCCTCCTCCTCATCATCCGCCTGCATCCATACGCATCCTCCTTCACCTCCTCCCTCCTCCCTTTGTGCTCCCCCCTGCCTCCCTCCTCTGCTGCAGGAGCTTCCTGCTGAGCTGCGACTGCGCCCACGGTCTGCACCCCAACTACGCCGAGAAGCACCAGGCGCGCGCGTGCGCGCGCGCACTCGCGTACCCGCTGGTTCCCGCCCTCCGTCCTCGTGTCGGCCGAGAGGGCACCGGTCCGCGCGCCCCCCGGCAAGGCCATGCCGAGCTGGGGGCCAGCTTGCAGCTTGCAGGAACCATTCTATGTCGCAGAGGGCTCCTCTGCGACGCAGAAACCATGGACACCTCAAGACTAGAGTCCTGGTTCCTCCCCTTCTCCTCCTCCTCCTCCTCCTCCTCCTCCTCCTCCTCCTCCTCCTCAGAAGGTCTCTCGCAGAAAGGTTCTCAGGACTCCTCCTCCAGCCAACCCTCCTCTGAGAGGAGGGTTGGCTGCCTGACTCTCGGGAGCGTCATCCTGCAGAAGATTCGACCAGGCACAGCCTGCAGAGGACGAGGAGGGGCGCAAGGAATGGGGAGAGGGGGAGGATCAGGAGGGAGGATGAAGGAAGGGACGAAGGATGAACAGGAGAAAAGGACGAGGAGGAGGGAGGAGACATAGACACATCACCCCTTCTCCCTCCCAGGTGCTTCTCCCTCGTCCTCCTACCTACTACCCGTCCTCCCTCTCCCGCTCCCTCTGACCTGTGCACCTTCGCTCATCCATCCCCGTCCTCATCCGTTACCCTCCTCCTCCCCCTGTCCACCTCTCGCCCTCCTCCTCCCCCTCCTCGCTCCGCCTCTCGCGTTCGTGTTGCAGCGTCGCCTGTGCGCGCCAGCCTGCGCAGCCCGCCGCACAGGACCTCACAACTTCCGCTTCGGCGGAGGGCCGAGCCTCTCCAGTGCACACCTGCCCGTCGGCGTGCAGCCCCGCCCGCCGAGTGAGAAAACGCCCTCCCCCCCGGAGGCCAGGCCGCAGCGGACCCCTCGGGGCTCGCTGGGCCGCCCCCGCCCTCCCCTCTCCCCTTTCCCGCCCTCCCCTCCCGCCAGGGCCCAGTCCCTCCTCCCGCCCCGTGTGGAGGAAGGCAGCCGCACGAGCCTCGCTTGTGCCAAGGCCGGCGCAGACTCGGCGCCTCGTGGCCGTCTCGCTCCCCGTCCTGCCCCTCGCCTTCCCCGCTCTCCTCGCGGCCCAGGGCGTCGCCCCACGCCCCCCCCCGCACC